AAACAAAAGTAGTAATCTACTACCTACTACCACTATTACAAGGACTAAGGCAGTTTGTTATTCCCAAGTAAAAGATTTCTGTGTCAGCAGACATAGGTGTGGTGTTGCAAAAGTGTTCAAGCCTACTCTTATCACTTCTGCACAGATGGTTGGCATTGTTCCAGCTGAGATGACCCCAAACCCTCAGAGTGTAAACAGGAAAAAAATTCACAAGTTGTTACAAAAAAGTAGTTACAAAAAATTTGAAGTACTTGTTGTGCCCCTCCATTAGGAAATCTTTAATGCCCTTGCCATGTAAAAGTTTTTGTAAATAGAAGCAGAAACGCTTTTCATGAGAATAAACAGGTTTAAGAAATTAAAAATGGTGCAAAGGTCATTTTTTCAGGGTTGTCAGGCAGGAAGAAAGTAAGGGAATGGTAGCTGAGGGTCCAGTATGCCCTGGATAAGGACTGTTCTTTAGTCAAGCTCACACATCAGTTTAAGGAAGGCGTTGATCATTGGGGCTTCCAAAGCTAGCTTATAATGAGTGCTGGCAATCTTGAAATGATATTTTGAAGACTTTACCAATTTATAACAACGCTTATTGTGGTACATAAATATTGTAGTGATTACATATCTATCTACACTTAAGTATTTTATAAAAATTTAAACCACGTAATTCTGGTGAACCCCTCTGAGATTTGAGTCAGCTACTTCATACTTATTTTACGTTAGAAACTTGAGCCTCAGAGAGTTAAAGTAATTGGTCCAAAGTGTAACCTAAATTGTAACTGGCAGAGCCAGGACTGCAGCCTAAGTCTTCTTTTTTTTTGGTTTTTGGTTTTTCTCCGGTACCAGGAACCGAACTCACGGCCTTGCGCTTGCCAGGCAGGCGCTTTTGCTGCTGAGCTAAATCCCCAGCCCCCTGCAGCCTAAGTCTTACAACCCTGTTAACTTTCTGGTCCAGTGGTTTGTTTTCTGTTTTTTGTTTTTTCGTCTTTTTGAGACAGTGCCTTGCTATATAGTCCAGGCTGGCTTTGAGCTCACTTTGTAGCCCAGGCTGGTCTCGAACTTGCAATGATCCTCCTGCCTCAGCCTCTTGAGTGCAGGGATTACAGGCATGCGCCACCATGCCCGACTTGGTCCAGTGGCTTTAAACTTAGCTAAATATATCTTTTATTGTAGAGGCAAAAATCTTTCCAGATCTCAAGTTAGTAGTAAATGGATTTCAGTATTCCTTATCCCAAGAAATGACTTTTATTTTCTCTGATTCATAGGTAATTAAGTGAGTTTTGTTTCTCAGGAAGGGTGTATAGGAAAGTAGCTAAGGTTGGTGGCCTATACTTAAGTGGTGGGAACTAAGCTCTATTTACTTGGGAAATTTTTCCAGAAATTAGTTGGAATTTTTCAGTGTGGGGAATTTCTCTTCCATTTATTTGTTCAATCATTCGTTTCTGCATGTGGATGCATGGATATTTATTTTATATTTTGAATTATAAGCCAATACAGTAATCCTTATGATATTTCTCAAGTTGTGTTGCATTTGAATACCCTTTTGGATTGAATTCTGTGTCCTTTTTACATTGTTTTTTTTCTTTGAGCACCTTTTAAACTTTCTGAACCTACAGTATGCTGCAGGCCCATTTTGCATATTTCCTATTCCAAACCTAGAATCAGCCATTCTTATAAGAGACCTAGTTTCTTTTGTTGGAGAATGATGTTCAAAACCAAGATGTATGAGTTTGATTCCTGGTACAAAAAAACCCAAAAAAACAAAAAGCAAGATGTAGGGGCTGGGTGTGCTCATTGCTACTGGAGTATTTTTTTGCTTTTAAACCCTTGTGCTTATAGGTCATAACCCACATATGTAGTTATTTTTTTGTGTGGCCATCTATACCTATATGAAGTTAGCACTTAAGTCATATGGGCTTAGACTGATGGCTGGACTCTACGGCCACATTCTAGGTTCATTTTAGCCTTCCCTTGTTTATATGTAGCACCCTTCTCTGGTCTGCAGTCTGTTCTGTTCAGTTTTAGTGCATGCATGTATAGTAGTTTCAGGATTGTTTACCTCTGTAAGAAGCATCTTTACTACATATAGTTTCAATGCAGAGCTCCTTTTTTTTCAGTCTTACCATTAGTGGAAAAAACATTTTTCAATGTTATATAAGCCAACATCTTTTAATTTCCCTTACTCTATAGTGAAGTTATGACATACATTTGAAATCTTTTATCAGCATCTTTTTCTCTCTTAGGATCCCTCTTCTGCCTACTTTCTGGTTGATTAAAAAAACCCTATCAGGCACAGTGGCACACATACGTAATTTTAGTCATTTAGAAGGCTGAGGCAGGAGGATTGCAAGTTCAAGTCCAATTTGGATAATTCAAAGAGATCCTGTCTCAAAATAAGATAAAAAGGGCTGGAGATGTAGCTCAGTATTCGGTCACCATGGGTTCAGTCCATAGCACTGGATGGAGACGTGTGTGTGGGGTAGGAGGGCTACATTTAGGTTCACAGTTATAATGCTAGTATTTATTTATTTATTTATTATGGAAAAAAGTAAAACTATATTTCAAAACAAAGTAATAGAATAACAATAGTTAATACATTGAGTATTGTTTAAAGTAGTTACTCAGAGTACAAGATATAGTTATAAAAAATTCTCTAAAAGATATTAACACAAACCTTTTTTTTAGTGAACTAAGAGAAATTATTAGTATACCTGTCTTGTATTTTTTTTCCTTTCCATTTCTTCATTTCCCCTTTCCCCCATCCTAGTTCATTTTTCATTTTGAACAATTTCTTCCCATTTCATAATATCTGTTATACATTTTGGACCTTATTTACTCTTTCAGTTTCTCAGGGAGGCAATATGATGTTCACCCGTGTGTCTGGTTTATTTCACTAATGAGTATGGTCTCTAGTTGCCTCTATTTGCCTATAAACGTCTCAAGTTTATCCTTCTTTATAGCTGAGTAGTATGCTATTGTATAAAGAACTTGATTTTTTTTGTCCATTCCTCAGTTGATGGGCATTTGGGTTGTTTCCAAGATACAGCTCTTCTAAGCTGTGCTACTATAAACATGGGTGCACATATATTGCTGTAGTATGATGTTTTTAAGTTTTCTGGGAAGATACCCAGAAGAATAGCTGGGTCAAATGGGACCTCTAATCCTAGTTTTATGAGGAATCTCCACACTGATTTCCGCAGTATTTGCACCAGTCTACACTCTCACCAGCAGAGAAGGGTTCCTTTTTCCCCACAGCCTCTCCAGCATTTGTCACTGGTTTATTTCTTGATGATAGCCATTCTTTCTGGGGTGAGGTGGAATCTCAGTGTTGTTTTAATTTGCATCTCTTGAATGATGAATGATGTTGAACATTTTTGCATATAGGTATAATGCGTAGTGTTTAAGTGTCCCAAATTAAATCTCATCTTTCCCTTCCAAGGGAAAACTGCTTGGCTTTTTTTCTAGTACAGTGCTGCTGTGGGTCTCCTACTTCCCATCTGTCCTCTCTCTTAGTCTCGTTTTGTTCTCTTGGCTCCTCTGTTCCCAAAGAGGCACCCTCCTCTCTGCATTTGTGCCAGTGCCTGTTATTTTGCCTTTTCAGCTTGAAGATGTGGTTTAATGTGTAAGTCTCTCGCAGTGCTTGTCTTGTGTATTTTTCTAAATGTTGTTGTAAGTGTCCTACCCCATTCTCAGTAACATGAGTCACTTTACCAAGTGCAAAGCCAACAAGTGCTCTACTGGCATTTTTATCAGAATTGTATTAAATTTATTATTTTGGGAAGAATTGCTATCTTTATAAAATTTCCCGTTCAGGAACTTTACCTGTATAATTTATCTGTATACGTCTGTGTGGTCCTAGTTTTTCATATAATTTGTATCCCTAGAACTACAAGGTTAGTACATGAAATAATGACTCATGCCTAACTCATCTAAGTAAACTACTTTGAATAAGGGCCAATTTCTGACTGGTGCCTGAAGCACTGTTTCTACCCTGACTGTGATTTAGTTGTGCGTCCTGTAAAGTTGGAGGCTCTTTTTTTTTTTTTTTTTTGCAATTATAAGCTGCTTCTTAAATACTATGTCTTAGTCTCCCTGTTTTATCAGTGAGTTATAATTGCAAGAATCATTTAAAATATACTACTGCCTTATTTTAGTCAACAGCATTTTTAATTCTGGTATTTCAAGAAAATATTTTTAGAAGTTTCATTTTGTTGTGTGTTTTCTTGTTTTGTTTATTACTACTCTCATAATGCTTTCACTATTCACCTTAAAGTCCATCCTTCCTTTATGAGCTTAGAATTTTACTGTTTTTTGGAAGCAAAGCTGAGAAAGTCAGCTCTTAGTATTATCTTTTGCTGTGGAGTTTATAAATTTTGATAGAGATATTTACATAATTTGAATGTTATCAGAAACTTCAGATTTCATCATAAACACACTTCCAAGTTAACTCAAGTTTCTTATAAATTATATGTAACTGTTTGATTTCTTTGCAGTGTATTTTATTCTTTTAGAAGCGCAGTCTTCATTTACCAGTTGATTATAGGTTTACTTTAGAAAGAGAGTTTTAAAAACTATCTTTATGTTATTAGTTGGGTATAAGGAAGTAATGCTAGAAAAAAGACCATTTCCCTCATGAATATTTAGAGGTAAATTTAGAAATATAACCCAGCTTATTAATACAGCAGGAGCTCTTGCTCAAGCAGATCTTTGTTGCTGTACCCTCCTCAGATCTTGCTGCTGCGGGACCTTTGAACTTCTGTCACCCCCACCCCGTTAGGAGAAGATCAGAGTGAGCGGCAGAGTTTGTGTGGGTAGGGTGCTAAGAGCTGTTCATACTGGGAACCCTGTGGAATCTTCCCATGATTCTCAAAGGTTTTAAGCTGTGAGACCGACCCGTTATAAATTACTTACTTTAGTATTTCATCAAACGCCTCCTATAATCTTTGCTTTCTAAGTCAAAGAAACAAAAGCGAGAATCTTCTAATTGGTGGGTTTTTATTCTTGCACAGATTCACCTGACGACTACATTAAGACAAAGACTTTTGAAGGCTTTTGTGCGTTACATTTTGCCGCAAGTCAAGGACACTGGAAGATTGCACAGATTCTTTTAGAAGCTGGAGCAGACCCTAATGTAACTACTTTAGAAGAAACCACACCATTGTTTTTAGGTGATGTACGCTATTTGTAGTGCAGATGCAGTTGTTTGTTATTTTGTTAGAGAAACTGTCAGACTTACCATATGTTCTTTCGCAAATGTACTACTACTTCTGTGATTGTGAAACTGAAAAGGTGTTTTTAAAGATTGTCTTCTTGTTTTCTACCCTGGTGTGGTAACGTCTGGGACTTAAATGTTGAGAGTTGCAAAATTTGTTTTGAATTGTATTCATTTTATTGTTAGCTTAGTTTTAAAGACTAGTGATTAAATTATAGCAGTATTTACAAGGTTACCTGTGAATATTTTATATTTGCTTTTTTTCGTTAGTATTAAAAAATTCAGAAGCTTTTATGGGAGAGATCACCAGCTAATCTTTTAATGCCAGTTAATTTGTTGGCGTCGTGGATCACTATTCAGACTTTCACAGTTACAGGTTTTTAAATTCTTTAAGGTTGATGGCCAAATTCTAAGTGGCCATGTCTAATAATTGTCTTCTTTTCTTTATTTTCTCTCTTCTTCCCTTCATTACATGTCTTTAGGGACATTTTATCTCATGAAATAAGTGGAACATGACAAATTATGAGATTAAATAATTTGGAATAGAATCTGCATATCTAGAATACAGTTTTGGTCCTATCACATATAATTTGAATGTTTGCTTACTTACTTTATACTTATTTTTCTCACTTGTAAGAGTGATAGTGCCTACCTAGTCTTTATTACTAGGCTGAGAATAAAATGAGATGTTTATGGAAGTACTTTACTTTTTTCTTGTCAATTTAAATATTTAAAAATTCTGTGTGTGGTAAAATTCACTTTTTTTAGTATAGCGGCCTATGACATTTGATGTATGCATAAGATTCTATAATGACAGTAGTTACGGTATAAACCTTCCCATCACCCCAATTCCGTCTTACTTTTTTTGGTACTTGGTGTTGAACTTGGTCTTGGGACCCTACCCATGCTAGACAAATGCTCTGTCGCTGAGCTACATTCCTAACCCTTTCTGTCTTTTATGGTGAGACAGCGTCTCACTAAGTTGCCCATGCTGGCCTTACTTGGGATCTTCCGCTGCAGCCTTCCTAGTAGTTGGGATTACTGGCGTGCATCATAGTGCCCAGCTTGCTTTTTTTCCTTTAAAGACAAAGTTTCATTTTGTAGTTCAGGCTGGTCTTAAGCTCACTGTGTAGTCCAGGCGGGCCTTGAAATCATGATAACCCTCCTGCCTCAGGCTCTGAGTGGTGGCATTACAGATGTGCACCACCATACCAGCCAGAGGGCTATTTTTTTTTTTTTTTTTTGTATTGCTGCCTTCATTTTTATTTAAATACAGTGATCTTTTAAGAGAATAAACAACAAAAAACTATACCACAAATATCCTATATGAATGTAAACATGCATGTCTACTTCATAATTATGCAAAATGAACTTTAGGCACAAGATTTTAAATATCATTAAATGAGACAGTGAACTCAAGATAGAAATAACAGAGGCAAATAAAACACATTTCATAATGCTTCAGTTGGTCTTATCTTCCAATCTACTGGTTAAGGCCTGGGTTTCAGAAATCCCACATTCCTTGCCAAATGGTAATATCCAGTTTGGCTGTAGCTAATATATATATATCCACATAACAGACAAATAATTCTCTTTCAAAGTAATGTGATAAATACATCACACACACACATACAATCCCTCTCTCTCTCTCTCTCTCTCTCTCTCTCTCTCTCTCTCCGCCCCTCCTTCTCTCACTGTCTTTTTCTTTCTCTCTTCTGGTGAACCACCCTCTGAAATAGGGAAATAAGGATTTCAAGTTTTCCTACCACTGAAGCACACCATACATAAGAACAAAAAAGATTCTGCTACAGAAATGAGTGGCATTACTATAAATCTGTTTCATTCATGCTTCCCCAGCACGTTTTACTAAGGCTTGCCATGGCTCCTCGGACGTCGGATCTAGTCTTTCCACCTGGCCAAAATGGCTCACGGTGCTGAGACACTGTATAAGGGCAATCTAACAGTCTAGTAAGAAACTTCAGCACGGATATACTCAGCTTTGTCCAAATGCCTGGGATGCTTTTTCTATGCCTCACCTCTCTGTCTCCTCCCCAACAAGCTATAGGCACATGGACGTCTAGTCCTGTGATGGTGGTTCTGCTATGAAGGAGCTCATACCAGCCAGAGCTCAAGTAAGAAAAGGGTCAGCTTGTACTCACAGGCCACTCCGCGTGGGTCAAAACAGGAAGAGTCCATGCAGACAGAAGCTACAGAACCCTGGACTGGGGCCTGGAGTCCGAGAGGGGGCAGCAGGAGAGGCACAGACGCAGGAGGAAACCGTCCAGTTTAGCTGGCGTGAAGGTACCTGTGAAGTCATCTGTCGGGCCACACTCTTGATTCCCAAAAAGAAAAAAAATCCCTTACTCTACTGGAAGACAGAACCACGAAGGCAGAGCTGTGCTAGAGAATAACCTGGGCGGGACAGATGACAAGGGAGAGAGTCTGGTGCTCAGAAAGCGTGATTCACCAAGCCTAGTGCCACATACAAGTATTTCCTATAGAAGCAAACATCTCAACGGGCCAAAAACCACAGTTCCATCTACATAAGTCAAGGCTTGGGGATTGTGGGTAAATAGGTGTTTTAGTTCAAGTTCCTGGAACCTGCTTCAATTTGAGCAAGTTTAGAGCAGTGAAAATAATTCCCACAACCAGCAACAATTCAAATCTCCAATCGTGACCTTTACCTTCCCTGAGCTATCATTACCGCAGAATTATAAAACAATTTTCAATCAATTCATTATAACTAAGTTCCTACCTGCCACGGAATCCCCTGAGCCCTCAGGATGGGCGAAGACCCACCACAGGAACTAGCACGTGCCCACCGCCTACACGGGCAGCGCCGCGGGCTGCTGCGAGGCAGCGGCTCCCCCTCCCAGTGCAGCTCACTGGGGTCACTACGTGGATGCCGCTCTCCCCACGGCCCCCATCATGGACCGTCCATTTCCTGTTTTCCTCCACTAGCTGGGGAGAGGCCGTCTGAGTGGAGGAACGGGAGGCAGGAAAATCATTATTAATGTCTCGATGCCCACAGAACCAAAGTAGATAGGAATTTCTTGGGACACGTTCATGCAAACTAGAGGAATAGGCTGTTCCACACCGATCATGGGACAGTCACCGCACAGCCCCTCGGTGTGGGACACTCACTAGTGATCGGCTCCCAGCAGCCTGAGATTCATTTGGAAACTGCGCACTGCAGAAGGCAGTCTGTGACTTTCTTCTAGTTGTATATAAAAATTCAAACGAGTCTAGGAGTGAGGCACAGTGGTACAAAATCATGAGCAGAAAGATCTGATCAGAGAATGTGCTCATCCCGTGCTGCAGAACTCCTGTCTAGGTTTTGGTTTTTGGAAATTTACCGCTGGCTCATTTGTTCAGAGAGGGTTCCTTCACACCTCTCTCCCACTCCTGCCCCGTTCCCGTCCTGCTAAAACTCACTACTCGAAGGACACCTAGGATGGGTCCACGTGGAACTAAAAGCCTCAACAGAACTGAGTCACATGCATCAGCACAGTGGCTGCTGGCCCAGTCTGCTCACTCACTCGGCCTAAAGCATCTGGGGACTGTTGGGATCTGAATTCTAGCCGGAAGTACCTAGTGCTCTTGTCTTTTTGAATCCAGTAAACATGCTAATGTGCACTATACATTGCATGTATAGAAATCTCTGATTCTTACAAGTGAAGTTCGGGGGAGGGAAGATGGACTGGGTACAGAACACTGGTGGTGCACCAGCCATGCGCCTCCCTCTCCTGTAGATAGGGGGCTGAGCCAGAGCATCCTCAGTGTGCAGCCCGGCTGACACTCCAGGGCTCCGCTGAGTCCACCTCTGCCCGGGATTGTCAGGCTGCATCGGAAAACTTCCTTACCATGTTACGTCGGCAGTTCCAAGTGGCTGTAACACGCTTCGGGGATGCAGCTTGGGGCCTCCCAGAGGGCCATTTTTAGTGAGCTTCCCCTTCCAACTTCACCGCTCACAGCTGCTGATCTGTGCTCATCCCTGTAGTCCTCGCAGGTTGTCATATACTTACATGGCATAATACAGTGTGTAACCTTTGAGATTGGCATCTCTAACCTAGCCCCCTGCTTTTGAGATTCGTCTATTGCATGTATCAATAATCCATTCCTTTTTATTGCTGGATAATACCCCATTATGTGGTGTCTCATTACTGAGTATAATTACAGTTGACCTGAAATCCAAGTGTAAAGAGTTAGAAAATGTATTACTGCACTGTTTATAATGGAAATGTCTTCCCTACGTAGAGTTCACCAACATTTAAGTAAAGGTGAACTTTGGAAGGGAATTTTTCAGTTTGATGGAAGAAGGAATTAAAGTGAGAAAAGTCCATGAGAAAGGGAAAATTCAGGAAGCATCTTTCTGAGTAAAAAGCATCCTCCTAGAATTTTTTTTTTCTAACACACAGTTTTAGAATATGTATAGATGTGTGTGTGTGCGTGTGTATGTGTATATATATTTAAAAAATTTTTAATTTTTTTTTTTTGAGACAGAGTCTTACTACAGGCTGGGCTGGTGGGGCACTGCCGCCTGTAATCCCAGTACTCGGGAGGCTGAGGCAAGAGGATTGTTGTGAGTTTGACACCAGCCTGGGCTACAAAGTGAGCTCAAGGTCCCCATGAACTGCATAGTGAGACCCTGTCTCAAAAAGACAAAAAAAAAAGAGACAGGGTCTTACTGTGTATTTCAGGTTGGCCTTAAACCTACTGCAGAGCTCAGGCTGGCCTAGAACTCACTGTGACCCTTCTGCCTCAGCCTCCTGAATGCTAGGATTACAGGCAGGTGCCGTCATGCCTGGCTGAAGTTATGCTTTAACCAGAAGGCAGTGTCCTTGTTTCTCCGCCTCTTCCTACTTTTATCTCTTGACCATGCTTGGTGCATGTGAACACAGCAGATACTCTAAGGCTAGTTTATAAAACTGCTTTCAAAATGTAAAAATCCTTATT